TCTGTTAGGTTGTTTTCCTGGAATCACGATGACAAGATTTATCCCAAAATTTCCAAGATGGCCGCCAGAATCCAAGATGGCTGCCGAAAAGTTATTCTACTCTATATTTTCTTACCATGTAACATGTGTGGAAATTTGAAGTAAATCCGTTTGGATTTACTGAAATCGTGATGACAAGATTTATCTTAAAACTTCCAAGATGGCTGCCAGAATGCAAGATGGCCACCGAAAAAATAATGAGGTCTAGGACTTTTTACCATGTAACATGTGTGAACATTTGAAGTACATCTGTTTTGTGGTTTTTGTGGAATCGTGATGACAATATTTATCTGAAAAAAATTCCAAGATGGCCGCCAGAATGCAAGATGGCCGCCGCAAAGTTAATCAGCTCTAGAACTTCTGACCATGTAACATGTGTGAAAACTTGAAGTAAATCCGTCTGATGGTTTACCTGGAATCATGATGACAAGAAAGTGAAACTTCAGAATGCCACCTTGTCTAACCCCGTTTTGGTGCCTTTTGCCCCTGTTTACATCAATAGAAGAGGTGTTTTCTTTAAGAGGGAAGTCTGTTCTTTCAAACGGTACAATCATTTTATGTGGGAAAGTACCGGACAACAAAACTTTTTTTCAGAGGGTCCAGATCAGGGACTATAGTGACTTCCACGTCTGAAAAGTTTTTTAGATTTGAATGCAGGTTCTTTTGCCCCTACATCAGCACAGAGGTCCTGTACAAATCCCTCTACATAATCAGTGTGTTCTTCCAACTGTTCCTCTGTGTATTTCCCAGAAGTATGCACTTCAGTCTTAACAGATATAAATTCAACAAAGTCTTTGAGGTTATCATCCATCCTGCTAAATTTAAATGTTGAATCCAGATATGCTGGGCCTAGTCCTAATATCATTTCCTTTAAGCCATATAGATATTCAGATATTCTGAATATAATGTTACCCATGTTGATTAAGCCTCATGTATCACACATGTCACATATGTATCGTTAAGTTCATGTATTTTTGTGAGTTGTATTTCCCAGAACTTTGCCCTTCAGTCTTAGCAATGCAATAATTTCAACAATGCCTGTCAGGTTATCACCAGTTTTGTTTGTAGATGTTGAATCGGACACTGGAAGTAGTCCTGTAATTGTCTTAGTAAATTCTAGATACAGATATTTACATTGTACTTTTCTTGATTTTGCGCTTCGCCATGTTTGCTCAAGAAAAAATGAATTTCTGTCTGTTGTATTGTCCTGTTATGTATTTCTTAAAGCAGTTTAATCCAGTCTAAACAGCCCTTGCAAGTAATTGAAGTTTACCTAGATCTCTAGAAACTTATAAATAGATGACCATAATTCTCATTACTAAATCTTCTGCTTAATGTTCTTTTGATTACCATGGCTTAATTACTTGTCCATAAAATAGTGAAATAATATTGTAAAGATAAGCTTCGGTAATGTTTTGTATGGATATTAACATTCTGCTATTGATTCGGTATTCAGTATCATGATGAAGAAAAATTGCATCACCAAAGTATTTTTCCATTCTTCATAATACGTATACCTCACCTAGCTTGAGTAATCGATTACAGCCTGAAAGCCACATTCGTTTTATTGACTGATTTGTTACGAAACATTGCTAATATTTATGTTACCTGGTTTGCTTTGCATTTACACCTTATTTTAACAAAGTTAAGAGTAATTTTTTTACTGTTGCTATGGCAACATTTTACATCATTTCTGAACATTTTTATTTAACTTCCATGCATGGTATGATGATTTTATCCAAGACTTTTAGCTAAATCGATCCTTCCTCTGAAAAGGGACCCCTCCAAAAGTCGACAAAACAGACTCAATATGTCACAGTGATAATCGTAGGTTCTTTAAGGTTCCTTTCACAGAAATTTTCCAAGGACATTTCAGCCATTTAGCTTGTTGAGTAGGTTTTGAGACAACAATAAATATCACATAGCGCCATTGACCCTCTGAAGCTCCCAGTGCTGCTGAACAAATTGCAAATGGCAAGGGTGTGGTGTGGTGGAAACATCTCCAGCATAACTGTTCTAACATGATAAATCATATTTATCTTTACATGCTAATATTTTGCATTCAGTCAAGTTTAGACTATGAGAACAATCAATATTTGCCAATAAATTGTGGTAGGAGCAAAACAGACTTTCGTGCTGTGCCACTAGAGCTCTGTTTTGATTTCTCTAAGGTCCCTTTACATAACTATGAACCTTAAAATTACACCTATTGATGGTTACCTCTGATCTTGATGTTCAAATTGGTCTTATCACATCTACTTCTGCTGAATGAACTTTAAAGTGTTAATACAGTAGCAGACCAAGTTCACAAACACTTGGTCATATATGGCTGATGGTTTCAGGGTATGGTCATCACCTCCCCCTTGTGCCACTTTCACATGTATTTTTGTAACAACCCTGGATAGCAAGTTGCTACTGCAGCTCAGCTGTGGTAGCTTTATACAGAGAGGTCCTGGGTTTGATTCAGCCATGGTCATTGAATTAAGCACATTCCCTTTCATGTCTGCATTTGGCTTGTTACACTACAGTTCCCCAGGGGCACCATCGGCCGTTTCATGTTTAATGTAATATTTGTGATTTGGAGACTCTTTTTGAAGTTGTCAAAGGGATCCCCTGAAATTTATTTCAGTTATGCTTTCGTTTGCTCATGTAAATATCTAAATTACAATTCCCCCAAAATAAGGCCCTTAGAAGATTTGCGGAGCTACAAGACAGAATAAATATAACAAAAGAAGAATCCATTGACTCATTTTGACATTCATTTAGTGGAATCATTTCACAAACATTGGTACATACAGTAAACTATGGTACACCCATACAAGTATTGTGGTTTTTAAGTGATTATGCCCGTTTGATGTTTGTGAAGAGGGTCATATGAAGGGGGGGGGGGGGGATTTGGATTGTGATAGTGGTTTCTTAATGATGGGGGTGCATGGGAGGAGTTGTGAGGTTGTACTCCTTAATGGTCCCTTTCAAACAATAATTTTAGTAACACATTTTTGTCTGTCCCACTTTGAAACTTATTTCCAACATATTTCCTATTTTCTGAACTAATAGTTGTCAAGAAACAAGATTATTTATGAATTTCTAAAAGTAATTTAAGTATAATAGGATAAATAATTATTTCAAGTAAACATGTAGTATATGTTAATGTGAAATGATTTCTGGTGACCATTTACACAAATAGTTGCTCTCTGGTATGTGAGTGCCTTTTAGATCTGTCAAAGAGTGAAACTGAGAGAGACCAAAATGAGATGAGAATGATGAACAAAAATTATAGATCAAGTAGGTCTGGAAAAATCACATTTGAAGGTACTAGTATGCATTTTGATTATTATGTCACGACTAAAATGTGGTGACATATTGTTATGGTTTCCGTTTTTTGTGACGGTGGTTGGGGATCGGCGGTTGGCATCTGTAACAAATGGTTGTGGCATTTTGCATGTTAATGCCTTGTTTGCATTATTTTATGAAACAATATTTAGATGTAAACATTATACTTTGCTGTCTTTATATTTGGAACGCTCATTAAAGGAATTGTGATCAATATTGCTTTTAATAACTGAGTAAGGTATTTAATTGATTTAAATGAATCATAATTATGAATCCATATATGTATTTGTTCAAAATTTTAAACTACTGATAAAAGTTTTCTTAAAAAATTACTACATATGAACTATTATAAATGTGTACAAAATTAACCAAAGGAAAAACAATAGAAATAAAGAATATTTTTGCACTAGTACTTTTATGTGCTTTTATTTTATAGGAATGGAACTACAATATTGACCAAGTGATTAGTATAGAAATATAAAAAATTGGCACATGATACAATTTCATGGATGTTCTTTCTAAAGGATCAAGCTAACTAGTTACCATGTCTTGGAAAAGAATTGAGGTAAGCATGGCAACTATTTCTCTTTGGATCACCATGACAACCATTTTTGTACAGATTGTGACATTTCCCCTACCCTTTGCATTCATTCTCAAAAGAAAGCTTCGTCTTCACTTTTTCAGTTTTCAATAAATCTCTGAACTCACAGCGCTAATCAGATTTTGTCATCAAAATAAGGACGACTTTCTATATAGTCATTTTCTCTGCTGCTAAACTGCAATATAGTCTATACTAGGCAGAGGGTATAGCTTGTAACTAGACTCTGTGTGCAGGGTACATTTCCCCTTAATTATTTCGGGAATCAGAGAAATTGTAATTCTACATTCCATATAGTCAACAAGGGAATTATTGACTAATCAAAGTAACAGTTCCTTCAGATTTAACTTTTATTTTACAAATAGCTTTCCATTCAATCTCTATTTGATCTGTGAATATAATTTCAGGATCAGTTTACTGTATCAATGAATAAAATGAGAAATCAATTTTCAATGCATATATTTGGTTTATTATAATGCTTTCATCTGACTGGTCTTGTAGGCCTTTCTTTCTTAAGTGGATTATGGTTTCTTAAGCCACTGTTACCATAGAGCTTTCCATGATCCTTGCTCTCCCAAAAATATAATTTTCATGGTTTATTTTGCTCCTTCATTTATGGTAAGAACTCTTTTTAATTTTGATGATTTTAAAATTAAAAATGTGATCTTTGTCTTCTTCATCTTAATATTCACCCCTCTGATTTTCTCCTTTTCTCAAAAAGAGAACAGTTGTAATTATTAAGACTTGGATGATAATATGAAAATATTATCCAACAAAGCCCGATATAAATCTGTTCGAATGATCAAAAAGTGTCCCTTTAGAAAATTGTTAATTATGATTTTATCACGAAATAGCAAGAAAATTATAGATGCAAGTTATCAATATCCTCAATTTAATATCTGTATTTTCTCTTAACTGCTAAGAATTATCTTTGTCAATCAAATTTTTCATGAAATATTTAATTTTGAGTATTTTGCGCCTTGCATTTTTTGAAAGGTACACACAATATTGTATTCCATTGGGTTCTACAATTGTTGCAACTTAAGCCAGATCAATAACAAATTTTTATGTATGACAGATAAAGTTCAAACTAAGATTGATAAAAAGGGAATAATAGGTAAGTAGACAAATTAAAAAAGTGTTTATATATTTTCTAAATATTTAAATGAGACAACTTATGATTTATTAGTACACATGTTTCCAGGATCAAATCATGAATGATATCTTCCAACTTTGATTAAAAATATACAATCGAAACAATAAAAAAACAAAATGGAAACTACAAATCAAAAACTACAATATAAGTCATAACCCCATAAAGCTTGTAAGAAATGTTTCATTGTCACCTCTTAAAACAAGGAATTATTAGAAAAGAGTGGAATCAGCAAGGAATAAAGTAAACACTCTGAATTATTTAGAAATGCAAAAGTATTAAACACTTTATTCAAAATTTAGTGAGAAAAAATGCAAATTTTTCTCTTGGTATACAGCTCTGACATATGCAAATATTTCCATGTAAACCACTTGAGGTGTCAATATAACTAATGAAACTAATACCATTTAAACAAAACAAGTGATTACTTTGGTCATTTTCTTTTGTTGAGGCCATGAATTGTATTTAACTTTTGCTTCCTGATCCCTCATTTCCAAGCTGTGGTCAAATTCTTAGGTCAAGAACTAAACGATTGTAGGCGTATCATTACCAATCATGAATCGCAATTATTGGACTAAAAAAGAAATTGCGGAAGCTGCTGATAGCAAAAAGAAATTATTGAACGGTATAAGTACAGTTGGTGTCAAATCAATGGTAGCTATGCCTGTTCTTACACACTCTGCTAATGTGAAGCCTGAAGGCAAAAAGACGCCTGGCAAGAGACATTTTTTCAGGCACTATGGAAGAGCAGTCATGGTAAGATGAGATAAATACCTGAGAATATCTATGATCGTATACAATTACAATAAACAATGCACAGTATGGGAGTAAAGGATGAGCCAGGAAGCAAATTTATTAATATCGTATTACATATCTGCTTAATGAATAATCAAAAAATGAATAAATATTTTTAATTTTATCAGTCAAGGTGTGATTTTGGAAGCGGCATAATAGATGTTTAGTCACATATCATATTTCTTGATGTTCACAACTATAATGGTAGTTTAATATGTTTTCTTCAAGGGAAATGTTCATATTAGGCATATGAGTTGATTATATCAGAAATGCTTTTTACACAAAATCCCTTTATATACAAGATCCATTTATTTGAGATGTTTTGAAGTTTTGCATGTAAGTTATTAGATCCTTACAAATAAATGTCTACATAGCAGTGCCTAAATGTATGCAAAAACATATTTGCTAAATCCTTTCTTGCCTTGCAGGTTTTGAGGATTCTATATTTATTTATTCTAAGTGGCTTCTCCTTTAGGAGACTATGGGATATACTTGAAGTTGATTTAGCTCCTTAACTGTGACAACACATTACATCACCTAAACCAGTCAATATGAGTGATGCTATTATGAAACCACATGTTAACCAGTGTATTGTAGATAACATCATAATTATTTTATTTATTTATTTATTTATTTTCGTCTCACAGCAGATTTATTTTACAGATACTAGTAGTACTAAAATGTCATAAAAACTGCCCCAGCCAGTGCAGCTTATGCACCTATAATCCTTATATATAATGTCTTTGTTTCAGGCGACAGTAAAAATGACGACTCTTGGGAAGAAGAAATCTGTACAACAACTCCCTGAGCAAACAATGGTGAGTCAAACACTGTCTGCTAAGCTTAAAGTGCCTGATAAACTATAAAATGCGCATGCGTCCAGGTGTTGATAAACTATAAATAGCGAAAACCCAGGGTTTGTCATCACAAGGTAAGCCAGGACGTGTTGAGCGAACATCTAGTGTTGATATTGAATTTACATGTAGCCAGATAAGTTTCCTTATTGAAATTACATATAGTTATTAGCAATACTTTGTAGGTGATAATTAATAAAATATGAGTATATATGAGAGAAATCGGCCATTTCGAACCTGTTGAAAGTTTGTGGCTCTCGGCTACACCGGGGAATTTACTTCCATGAGTACAGACACAAATGTGGTGCTCCCCAAGAGGTACGCGAGAAGGTGACCTGGCATCAAATGTACGACTAAATGCTTCTATCGAGTAGATAAAAGAACGAAAACGACAATAAGTTATTGCAAACGACAATTCCGAGCATTCATCTCACTGAAGTATTTTGAAGTGAAGAAAATATGATTTTTGTTTTGAAACATGGATTCAGATGAACGTAACTTCATTCTGACAACTAATCAAAACTGAACAAAATTGATTATACGTAACAGACGATTTATTGTTTTACAATGTTTTGATCGGCTAAACGAATGAAACCAAGAAATTATGACATGTAAAATGGCAATTTTGAAATGTAAAATTTAAAAGTGACAAACACAACCTCCCTATCCACTCTTTATGAGCCCTAATATGTACATGCAGCAGTGGAAGTGTACAGCTTATTATCACACTGCTGGGTTTTGTATTCTAAAGCTTGTTGTTTTTAATAACACTGTTCACTCGACGTAAATGTTTTGTGTGTGCGCAGTCAACGATAATCATTGTTTTATCCTGGTTATATGACCTCGGCAATTATAACAAAACCGTACTAAACGAAAAAAACGCAAATAAGAGAAAGCTTTCACACACATATAAAAAATGAACTAGTCTAATCCGCCAGTATAAACTCTGTTATATACGTAGCCAGGTCGGGCGCACACTTTAAGACTCACTTGTAATCTGGGCCAAAAATATTAATGTAATCAGGCCAAAAATAATAATGTATATACCTTATATTATTTTGAGGAGAAAATGTTAAATTTTTATTAAATCTCTGTATTTTCTTGAAAAAGGTATGACGTTTTTTAGAAACTAGGCTTGAGAAGGAATGATATATACAACAAACAGATAAGGCAGTTTATAATGTTCTTCTCCATGTCAGATAGTACTCCAATGTGCAGATATAATCTCTTTACTGTATATAATTTTCGTTTTGGAAAAGGTGGCGCCAATGATCAAATGATCAAATCTACAAACCTGTTAAATATAGCTCAAACATAAATTCATAAAGTTGTAATTCACAAATAACAAAATCACTATTGACAAAACGTTTTCAAAAATGATTGTAACGTTTTGTCAAAATAGCAGCTTAAGAAACAGCATAAATGGTTAATTGTTATCCTTTCATTTGTATTGGTAACTGCACTGAGAAAACAACCTCTGTATAAAATGTCATTTGGGTCATGTTTTAAAACGCAAAATAGAGTGAAAACAAGTGGAATCGGCAAGGAATAAAGTAAACAGGCATAATGTCAATGCTCAAAATTGTATAGAAATGTATTAAAATGAGACCATTCTTTCAAGTTTATAGAGAAATGAATGGAGTAAATTTGACTAGCAAGACATTTTGAACAGACGGACCTTATTTTTAACCTTATGATCTCTCTCCTTGTAGTAGTACCTTTTGTGGATAGATTGGATTTGTATCATGTAAAAGGAGATAGACATTTCACTTTTGGTTAAAAACATATGAAATGAGTGATAAAATGTCAGTTTATAGTGAAACTTTATCAGAAGGTCCGAAGGTGAGTTATTAAGGTACAGCTGGAAAATAACATTTTGGTAAAAAATTGCTATACCTGCACTTGTTATTTTCTGGTACAAAATAAAGTATGAAGGCATGTGTTAATTTCCTTGCTTTTTTAATTAAATTAGAAATATACATTAGAATACACCTACTCATTTTATTCCTTGCTGCAAAAGGTCATAAATCTCATTAATTTTTTCGAGGGTAAAAATAATTGTAAAATGTAATTTTTAAAACCAGATAAGTGATGATTAGAAGTTTATTCTAACAAAGGTTCAACATTTCTTATTCAATTTCCTGCTTTATGCCTGGATATTTTCCATGTACATTATTGTGTTGCTAATATTTGATTGTGCCTTTACTTGGCTAGAAGGTAGCCATTAATAAATGGGGCATTTTACAGTTTTTGCTATAATTAAAAAAGTACTGGAGCAATTTTGTTAATACTGTATCTTTATTATATGAATACATGTACTTGTTATATGAATAGATGTACTTGCAAGAGGCACTTTCTAATATGACACATTGTGTTTTAAGGCGACAATTTTGAAAAATGCCATTTTAATAATTTATATGTATTATTTTAAGTTTTTTGCTTTAATTGGAAAAGCAGTGGAGTGATTTTGTTCATGTTTTATATTTAAGGTCAGGTGGTGTTGCTGTAATTCAGGTTTTGATTGATCTGATTTATTACATCATGGTATGCTGATTGATTGATTGATTGATTGATTGATTGATTTCAGACAAAAGCAGAGATAGCAGAATGTATATTTGACAAAACAACTAAAGGATGGCGAGGGACAACTAATATGACAGCCACTGCTGTAACAAAGGTATCCATCTTTGAGAGTGATGGCCACGTGTGGTTTGGAACCCTTGGAGTGCAAAGGGATTCCCCTAATATTTTATTTTTAGGTGCTACTCACAGATGATACTTACTGTGTTAACTTCCATCCTCCAACTCTCTTTACACCCCATAATATTTGTTTACATTCTTTCTTGTGCTATAATCCCGGATGTTGAGCAGAAGATGCATTCATGAAATCATGTCAAAATTTCAAATGGTTTTATTGTGAGGGATTGGGTGGGGGGTGCAGATGGTGCAAGAAGTTCTGTTGAAAGTTTGACATTATTTCAACTTAAGTCATCCTAGTTTTCAACATCTTTTCTTATTTTACATTTCTGTCGATAATATTTCATGAATATTTGATTTAACCCTTATGTGTCTTTTATGTGTTTAACCCTAACAGAACCGATCGGAGTTAGATGAGTACAAATATGACAAGAAGATCAAAGGATGGAGGGGACCTGTCACAATGGCCAAGGCTGTCTCACAGGTAGCATGCTCTTTTTATTTTCATGATACATGTACAAAGATACAATATAAAACATATAAGGCACCTTTATTAGGTATCTCATACATACATATCTTAAACGAATTATATTTTGAAATACTGGCATATTACTTAGTGTAACAGCACATTTAATATATTTGGGATGGCGACATCTGGAACTGTTTTCTTTTCATATGTAGCTAAAGTAATCTGTTTCAATCAATACAGCCAAAAATTTCAACTTGATTCCTTGATAAACATGAAAACAGGACAATTTGTATTAGCATTTATTGAACAACCCTTGTAATTTGTAAATATTTGAATCAACGCTCAGTATCTAAGTTCACGATTCTACAACATTGATAAAAAGTGGTTCTTATTTGTCAAGAAAGCATGGAATAATATCAAAATCCTTCAAGCTGTATACAGAGCTATTAATAACACTTGGCTAAAGAGTATCAACAATACATTTGAAAAGATTTCCAATTCTATCAACACTATGATATTTGTTCAGTGTTTTATGTCCCATTCCTCATTTTTGAAGCGTTTCTTTGGCATATGCCATTTTTATGCCATTTGTCTTTTGAATGAATAAACTTCTAGGTTCACTGGTACTTTGTAGATAATAATTACCTTGAATTTTGATAAATTCTTTCAAATTCTCTCTCTCATATTTAGAAAAAAACAAAGCTGAGTGTGATATTTTATTTATGGGCCTTCTTTACCTCCTAGTTAGGATTGTGACCAAGAATTGTGACAATTTCTATAGGTAATAGGATCGTAGTTGGGCAAGATATATGAAACTGTTTACGTGTATTTGATTACGTGTAAGTCGGATTCTATGATTTTTGTTGGATTATTTTGTAATTGCTTTGATTTATGTAAGGGTAAGTATTATGTACGATTTTTTTTCAGGATTTTTCGTCAAATGAATGCAAAATAATTTTAACCATTTGGACCAAAATTTGACAAAATATGCCTGCTATTTTCATGTTTTTTCTTATTGTCACATGGGTACAAATAGATTTTTTAGGTGGGTGCAAGCCACTGGCTTTAATGCTTGGGGAGATAAGTGAGTCATAGTATGTGTGTAAGTTTTAATGAAAATTAAAACATTATTTCTTCATTAATCTTTTCATAAATCCCTTCATTAAATTTAAGTTTCAGGATGATTTACATGGGCAAAGCCAATTAAGTCAGGTACATTTATAATTATGTATACATTCCAGCACTACATGTATATATATGGCATATGGTGAAGACATGTATAACCTGTTTAACATTTTGATTCCTTAATTTCAAATAATTCAATCATTTGATAGGCACTGTTTCACCATCTCCCATGTTTTCTTTATATTTGCAGCTTAAGTTATTTTTGTTACCATTTCAAGACATGTTGACTTCATTGTACTTTTATATCTTTGTTTTTGTGCATGCGTTCACAAATTAAAATGCTTTACAGTAAAACCTGTATATATGACCTCTCTTATCCAAACACCTCTTGATGTGAACACTTTTTCTGTCACAATTTTTTATTATCTCCCATTGACTCACATGTTAAGAAACTTTGAACACCTGCTAATTTGAACAGTTAATATGAACACTTTTGGCTGTCTGATTGGTCTCAATTCAACAGATTTTGCTGTATTTCACTGAACTAGATACTTATAATTTTATGTTCCCACTAAAACAATTTTGTATGATATATGTTTAAAGGTCACAGGTCATCAATAATGTCACAGGTCATCAATAATGTCCTGAATTGTAATTAATTACATTTTTGCTAGACCCCCCTCCCTCCCTCATAGACCCCCCTCCCTCCCTCCCTCAAAAAATGTAATATCAAACATCGTCATGTTCCTCATACAACAAAATGTTACAGACTTTTGACTTTTATTGACTCACCCAAAAGCTATCACAATTCACAATGGAAGATTTGATTCGAAGTGTGTCGCTTACCTGCTTTAAGATCTCACACCATTGTAGGCTTATGCCTTATGGGTATAGGACCTCTGCTCGGGAAGAAACTTTCAATATGGCCACTCAATTCAAAATGGCTGCCATTTTTCATAAAAATGTAATCTTTGATAACTCAAATATTAGTAGACAGATTTGGTTCAAATTTTATATGCTGATACCTTGGGAGAAAGGAGCTTTGGTGAAGATGAGATTTTCAAGATGGCCAAAATATCCTAGATGCGAGTAGAAATAATCTTGATTTACGTCATTAAATTCACAATTCAGTCAATCTGATGTCATATTTGGAATCTATATGTAAAATTACATCTAGAAATGTGGTTTTGAGTTTATCAACTTTGAAAATTTAATTTTCTTTGAAAATGTGACTTCTAGGTCGGGGAGATTCCCCATAGAGCCCATGTTGTAAAACCACAAAAAGTGAAATATCTTTTCTTGTGTTGGGCAGATAGTATTTTCTTTTACTGGACATATTTTAATTTGTATAACTATCACATACATGCGGGTAATATGAAAAGTGAACCACTAAAACTGATGAATATTCAAGTTTAAGGGAATTTTGTAATACCCTGCCATGTTATTTCCCCCGAATCAGCCTCCTGGTGGCGAAACTGGTAACTACCTACTCGCATCTGAGTAATTGCAGCCATTTAAAAAAATGTTTTTGCCATTTGGTTCAAATTTTATATGGCGCTGATGCTTAGAGACAAAGGAGCTCTGGTCAAGAAGACATATTCAAGATGGCTACCAAATTTTAAAATGGCCACCATTTTTTGTTATCTTTGATAAGTTATCTGAGTCAACTCAAATATCAATGGATGGATTTGGTTGAAATTTTATATGCTGATACCAAGGGAGCTCTGTTTAAGAAGAAATCTTTCGCTATTTATCAAGACATGTTTTATTCGGTACTCCTTGGAGTTGCTGTTTTCTAGTTTGCTTCATTGTCAACTGTTACATTTTGGTTTAGTGGACAGAGCCAGAACGTCCGCAATCACATAAGTCCATAGCACAGTTATGGCATGGTCAGGGGAATGGTACAAAGAATCGAGAACCTCCGCCCAATGCTTTAAGACGGCACGCTTATTTTATGAAGGTAACTCAACAGCCTGAAACCAGGGGGCGCTTTGGGTGAATTTGAGCAGATTCACCTGCTTTATGTTAACATTGAAGAACGTGTACATTGTGGCTTATTAGCAATAGATGGATGTTACAGGCTATATTTAGAGTTATTAAATGCTCATTTTTTCATGTGCTTACTATATTAAAAAGATTATTTTAGCCTATACATGGATGCTTTTAGATATTTTCACAAGTTTTCACTATGCTTTTTTATTTCCAGGATTCACAAGTATACAAGTTATAGTCATATATAACAATGCACATTTATTTATATTAACATTATAAACATTTATATTGTTAGCATTTTATGCTACTTATAATTATTGTAAACATTTATATTGTATGCATTTTGCTTTTACAGTTTCAAGTAGATTTTTAGCCTTTTCAGTAGTTTCATATTGAATATGTTTGCCTTGTAGTATACTAGTATCAGTAATATTTAAATGTTATATTTTGTACTTACATTTTGTAATGGTTTTTATTAAAAACATTTATCATCAAGTCTTTTTTTGTTAAGTTAAGTAAGCAAACATTAGATAAGTAGAAAGATTCTTATAAATACATTTTTCAGATTTTCTTGGAAATATTTTTTTTATATCTTAGATTATTATTCATCATGAGTCAATGGCTTTTTATAAAATAAATAAACAGTACATATATATAATATTTAGTACTTTATGTAAAAATGCAATATATCCACTATTCCGTCTATTAGAATCATATACATTTATGAACTGTATCTAACCATATACAAACAACTGAAAAGATTTTAACAACATGTTTAGTAATAGAATTGAAAATTCGAAATTGAAGAATAGTTTCTTGCTATCATTACAGTTTTCCAAACTTCGTAAAAACAAGGAGAAACAGATGGCACAGCAAGACAAGGAGAAATCTCGATTTAAGATGAAACAGATTGACGATGATTATAATGTGGATCTGGACAATGATGAAAATGATAGTGATGTCAGTGTATCTGAGGTTAGTCTAAACTGAAAACTGAGAAATGCATTGTTATATATGGAGTTATAAAATGAAGTGGAGTTTCGAATCAGCAAGGAATACAATACATTAACAAATTAGGTTGGCAATTTGAATATTGTAGATAAAGTAATAGAATAACTATGTTTTTGCTCAATCTTTTGAATCTTGAGATAACAGGCATGATGAGGCATAGAATAACATTAACCAGAAAGAATCCATTATTATTGAAAACCATAGTCTTGCATCTAGGTGGGATATTATAGGGAGGTTCAGAAGGGCTTTATATAGGACCATAGACAGTTCTTTGAAATCTGTTGCAGGATGTCGTCAATGAGGTACCAGTAGTGACTCGTCCATTCTCTGGAAATAAAAAAGATGTTGACGAAAGTGGATCCTTGAAGTACGCCTCCTGGAGGTGTCCTGGTGTCTATAAGCCTGAAAGGTATAATAGTTGATACATTATTGAACTGTATTAAATGTAGAGCACGCCACAATAATTCAAACTAATGCACATTTACACTAAATAGGATCAATACATTGCACTTGGTAAATAATCAACTCTCAAATAAATGTTGGTATATGTTAATTGTTTCTGAATGAAAGAATTTTAAAATTGCAAAATGATAATAAATGATTCCAGAGAATCCAAGTTCAAAGTAGAATCAGTATAAAGAATTTGTTGGTTTTAAAGAACTCAATCTATTTCAGGGTGAAAGATTTTGAGTTTGAAAAGCCTGAGCCTCAATTCTCCTCTGCCAGTTTCACATCCCCAGCTCAGCAGGTGCTTCGTCTTGGGAAAGTCATTGAACAGAAGGAGAAAGACATTGATTATCTCCGAGATGCTTTGTTTAAGTCGCAGAGAGAGAATTACAAGCTATGTAAACAGATTGAAGGGTATGTGAATTATGTTAAACTGGTAACAAATAAAATGTTGATTCAGAGCTAAAGTTTATTTTACATTTTACACCCGCTTCCTGTTCTAATTCCTTTGAGTCATCAACTTATATTTATTGCAACAATTTTACGCTCATTAATCTCTAATATTCATTGACATTTTATACTTGCAACATTTTACGCTCATTTTTATTGTGATGCCTTAAGTCATCAACATTTTACACTCTATCCTTTCTATTTCATATCAGTCATCTACAAACAATGAAAATTACCTTTTCTAAATATTTCAGGTACTCTGGCAAAGATTATGACAGCCTTAAGAAAGAGAACCTGATCTTGAAAGAACAACTAACCAGAGTCATGCGCGAAAATGCCAGACTTCACGGAGAAAAATATAAGGACACAAATCACATATTCCATAAGTTAAAAATAGAGGAAAAACTTGAAGAACAGTATGGGGTTAAAAATAAAAATATCCCTAAACCAAAAATAGCAAAGACTTTATATGACGAAGACACTGTCAATCTAGAAAATACAAGAAATCTGAACTCTAGTAAAGATGGCAGTAACAGTAGTATAGACAATCTGAATACCTCCCACAGGTCTAATACCTCACCAGGAAATCGATCAAAAAATATCAGTGGCTTAAAATAAATGTGTATGGCATTGTTATGGTTTCCATTTTTGTGACGGCGCTTGGTGATCGGGGGTTGGCAGTTGGTGGTTGGCTGTTTGTAGTTGGTGGTTGGCGATTGGTGTCTGTAACAATTTCTTACAACTTCCCATAACTTAACAAATACTGTTTAGACTGACTTCAATTTTTTTCAAAATCATCTTCAAGTTCTGAAAAGTTCAAATCTGACTATAGATTTTGAGATTTGACCTTCAATGACCATCTCAAGGTCAAAAAGATTCATAACATTGTGAGCACCGAGGTGGTGACATTTTGTCATATTAATGCCTTGTTGTGATTTAAGGTATTGGTGAATTTAACTGCTGGCTGATGGATTAAACTTTTATTTTATGACCAACTCATTTAAATATCGACTTATTGAATAGTACCTACTACTATTCATATTTAATTTCAGTAATCCACCAACCAGCCGTTGAATTTGTGAATACTCTCAATATCCTTATACTGAATTGTTTTTCTTTGTTAACAACTTTGAAATAAACAACTTATTATACAAATAATCTGCCTGTGCATGATAAATCAGAAGTTTTTGTTTCTGTTACATTGATAATTTATAAGCATGAAGTTTAATGCTTGAGGTATTTGTGAAGAAACACACAACCAAGAAAATCAGACCTTTGTTTTTAAGTTAGTGAAAAAATCTTATGACATCATGATTTCCATGGTTAAAAATTTGTTAAAGTTAAAAGAAGGAGGGAAAGTATCGCAACAGATTTCGTAACAGGTGCATATGTTAGGCCAATGCATTATCTCCAGGAAAAGCATGCATAGAGATGATAAAATAATTTTGACTTTGAGACAGGGAAGATGCAAACAATCCACCCACATGTTTTTTCTGAAATGTTGTCCTGATTTTCAACCCCTTCCACCTCTGCTTTTCCAATTTTTGTTGCATCAATATGTTGCGTTTTGACACACAATTAAACCCTTTAAAGGAATAAGTAATTCCTCCAGGGGTTTTAAAGAAATCCATAATGGGAGACCAAAATTAGCTGAAAGCAATGGATCGCATGAGTTCTCCCTATAGGAAAATAACATGGGGAGTATTGTTTTCCACTTTATTGAAGAGGAATCACTTATTCCTTTAAAAGGGGTTAATTAACTTTGTCTTAAAATGCAACATATTGATGCAAAAAAATTGAAAAAGCAGGGGTGGAAACGGTTGAAAATCAGGACGACATTTCAGAATAACATGTTTCAAAATCTAAATTATTTTATCATCTCTATGAGTGCTTTTCCTGGAGATAATGCATTGGCCTAACATATGCACCTGTTTAAATGCTCAGAATATAGTCAAAATCCAAAACATGACTGTCCAAAATCTGTTGCGATATTTACCCTCCTCCTCAAGAGTAAAAATGTTGGGAGCAATCTTTTAAAGGCACATGTCATGGTTTTCCTTTACAATAAAGATTTTATTCCCTGAGATATTAAAATTCAACTCAGGCCCGGCCCCTTAGCCAGGATTTGCCAAATTTGGAAAATTCCAGGGGGTTTACTTTTGACAATTTTGGTCCAAATATGGCCAAAATCACTTAAAAAGTGCTCAGAATGGTGAAAAGCTGCATGATTTTGACAGAATTTTTGGGCAGGGGGTTCGCTCTAAACTATCGAAACAACAAGGGGTTAGAGAAAAAAACTTCTGTGCTTGAGGGAAAAAAATTGTTGGCCACTAAAACCCAAAAGTGGGCCCAAATTTTGAAATTATGAGGCCCATTTTCTTCAAATTTTGGCCTGAAATTAAAAAATAAGGCCTTAAAAGGCCCAGTAATGATCAAATAGGCCCACTTTTTGGGGCCTTAAGGCTTTTTTTGGTCCACAAAGGGAGGGGGAGCAGGCCCCCCAGATCCGCTAGTACATACTGGAGCATAGTCTTGCTTCATGACCCTGGACCCCCCCCCCATATCTACCTCAACAACTTATTGTGGCGGAGTTGGTGGTTGTAATGGGGGAGGGTGATTACAAGGGCTTGTAGCTTGACTAACTGAAGCATTTCAAAAGCCTATGTGTTGAACAACAAATCCAACAAGATAATAAAATAGATGGCACAAGTGGTTTCAAATGGGGCACTACATACAACCAACATAGAATTTATAACCATACATTTCACAGCCTTGAGATAAATGTTGCAAAAAACTGGCCAAGTTCTGATTGCCCAAGTTGTTATTTTTCTAGCAATATCAATAAATTTTGCAACCTATTATATGACATCATTAATCTTGCCAATAATATATAATAGCTTCTTTCATCTACCAAAAGGTGGCAGGGTTCATTAGATAGTGTTGCCTGATTGCAGAAGGGTCTATTGGAAGCTAAAATCAAATATTTTGTCAAAAGATCTCTGGTAATTTTTACTCTTATTCCAGCCCCTCAAAAGATGAATTTCATTTGGGGTTGTTTTTACTTTATAATTTAAAAAGTTTTTCAAAATTTGCCTTTGGTGCTATTATTTTGCATTCCTTTAACATGACCTACTTTAGCGGAGTAATATAAAATCTTAATTGATGTAAAATGACCCAATTAATGTATTCGTATATTCTCAACTTCACATTTATTTCACATGTTTTAATAAAGTAATATACTTATTTTTGTTGAAAAAACGAAAATATTAAAGAAAACAAATTCCCTTAAAAAATGACCATATAATTTATGTGAGGATTATATTTTGAGGCGGATGTGTCAGTGGCCTGATTAATTTGAAAGCCACGCCATCTTGGAATTCAAATTTGTTTCGTGAAGAGGGCAAAAGACTGCGTTTTCTCCAACATATATAACGATTGAAGTGACCAGATAACTAGTTTTGGATTGTAAAGGTCCTAGAGGTTAGGTGCGTATACCAAGTTTGCTAATAACCTCACCTTTAGTTATGTTTTTCACTGTTCAAAAGTGTGGTGTTTCATTTGAAAAAAATTATTTCCGAAACGGACATCAAAATATTTTTGAAAAGTGTCGGTCAAGAACAGTCTAAATAAGCTACATATTATGAATATCTTGGCAGACTATTATATTTGTATGATATATGTTCATACCATGCTTTATATTTAGGGTAGTAAGAAAGTAGAATTAGCGGGAAAATATTTAGAATTTCTTTGTGTTTATTTTACTGAATGAGTCACATTCTCCTGTCCATTCCAGTTCATGTGCTTCCAGATTTTATTTTTTATTTACTTCATGCATCCACTTTCACTGGTAGAATGTGAGTCTGTATCCTTGGAATCTTTGAAAATACAGCTCACAATAATCACTTAGAACTTTCTTTCATTTTTGAGTTGAGGTGATTGAGGCTTACTCGAGTCTGTGCTACACGCACCTAGAACTCATTTTTAATAAATTTTATAAATATTTTTAAGAATATTAATCATATTTAGGATGAAGCGTTGCTTGTCTGGATTTAGATATTTCAAAATTTCATTTCGGAGTTTGACACATGGTGAAATTTTCTCGCTGTAGCTAAAAATGGCTTCCGGTTCTGGACGTGAATAACATTTGAAATTATTCTCGCTTAAAGAAATCAAATATAACAATAGATTCAGTTGGGGATGTGAGCTGATGTTCTTCAAATCTATACATAAAGGTATATTTCATATTATTATGCCATATTTACTGTGCGTGTGACACAATGATTTACAATATTTATAATACTAAGGCAGCTCAATCTTCCTCCTCAAAGCCGGAATATAGAGAAGGCTTTGGACCGAAGTAAATTGAGGCAATGTTAGCCATTCTGTCCATCAGTTATTCGTCCAAATATTCTGTAGATAGGCAGGCAACACGTCCATGTAGGTAATTGTCGGACAAAGGAAGGCCTGCATTGAGTGTCGGACAATACCTACATGGATGACATTCCCTCAAATAAGAACATAGAACATCGAAGAACAGCATACAACGATCGGATCTATATGACGTCCCTGAACTCTAGTACATGTATAAAATTGCCGTCCTCCCTGTAGTCTTGTAAGCGTAGACATATGAAGTAACTTCCATGTTCCAACATCACTCATATATCCTCAGATTGAAAGTCCTAGAGGCAATGAAAAGTAAATGTATGTCAATCAAAGCAGAACATATGATTTTTACAATTAGTACAACATGTCAGAAATGATGAAATGTTACCATGTGTCTACTTACCAGTTTGTTCTATGTCATCCATCCTGCTAGTTGGTTACATTGTGGAACGCAGCCAAACACGACAATGAAGGCAACAACATATCGATATTGATCTTAGCAGAATTTCTCACTTGACTGATCATGTGACACGTGTCTGATCACGTGACTAGTTACTGTATAGATCATGTGATTTAATGACGTGTCACCCAACCATGTCTTCAAGGAAAATGGTAGTAAATATTTTGGAAAATGTTTTGCGAGTTTTTGCTACTGATTATAGAATTATTGCATTCAAATAACAGTCAATATGGTACAACGAAAATGGGACTTCTGCGCATGTTAAAATTTTTCGTCAAAACTCAACTTTTGTTCAAGTTGATACGATTGTCTTTCGAACTAGAGACTTACCTCATTCGAAAGATCATAAAAGACTTTATCTATACTGAAAATCTTAGATCCAAACATAGTAGAATACGCCATCAGTCCGCATTTGATTTTTTGAAGTGAGTTTCGTAGATCGTCAGATTTCTCCGACTGATATCGGGTTATCTCAAACTGGTTCGTTTATAAATACGAATTTGTTTACCGTTGTAAGGCGCATGCGCAAAATTGATTTATAAACCTTATTGGTTGATGGTTTTTCTCCTGCGCATGCGTGAAGTCTGATGAACACTTATGACGAAGACCGGAGCAAACATTACTAGCTCTTGAACGAAATTCCAAGATTCAGGTCATTTCGCCGTGTTTGCTAAGCGTGTATACGTGAATGACAAGCTGTTTTGAGTAGATCGGGTACCTGTTTTAGACACAACATTGATTTAGCTTGACATTGATGTGCACATTGGCACTTTTGAGCATGTTAATACAAGTTTTTACACTCTTAGCACGAGACGGGTTTTCGAAAAATCTGTTATCTGATTCACTCGATTATCGTATGGATATGTATTTCTGCTGACATTTCAACACCACATCACATAGA